GTGATCCCACTTCTAGGAATATATCCCAAGAAACCAGAAACACCAATCAGAAAGGATATATGCACCCATATGTTCATAGCAGCACAATTCACCATAGCTAAGATCTGGAAACAGCCTAAGTGCCCATCAGTAGATGAATGGATTAGAAAACTGTGGTACATCTACACGATGGAATACTATGCTGCTGTAAGAAAGAAGGAACTCTTACCATTTGCAACGGCATGGATGGAACTGGAGAGCATTATGCTAAGTGAAATAAGCCAGTCAATGAAGGAAAAATACCACATGATCTCACTCATTTATGGATAATAAAGACCATTATAAACTTATGAACAATAATAGATACAGAGGCAGAGCTGCCTCAAACAGATTGTCAAACTGCAGCAGGAAGGCCGGGGAGGGTTGGGGGGCAGGAGGGAGGGGGGTAAGAGATCAACCGAAGGACTTGTATGCATGCATATAAGCATAACCAATGGACATAAGACACTGGGGGGTAGGGGAGGCCAGGGGATTGTCAAGGGCGGGGAAAAAAAAAGACACATATGTAATACCCTAAGCAATAAAAAAAATCAAAAAAAGAAAAAATTACAGAAATAAATAATTTGTAAGTTTTTATTTTATTTTTTTAAATGTACCTAACTGTGGTGGCTTCCCTACTACAGTTAATCCTCACCTGAGGATATTTTCCATTGATTTTTAGGGAGAGTGGGAGAGAGAGGGAAAGACAAGAGAAACATCGATGTGAGAGAAACACATTGATTGGTTGCCTCCTGCATGAACCTTGACCAGGGCCCAGGCCGGGGAGGAGCCTGCAACCAAGGTACGTGCCCTTGACTGTAATCGAACCTGGGACCCTTTGGTCCGAAGGTTGAAGCTCTATCTGCTGAGCCAAACTGGCTGGGGCTAATTTGTAAGTTTTTAAATGCCTGCCATTCTGAATAGCATGATGAGCGCTCACACCATCCTGCTCCATCTCACCCAAGATGCGAATCATCCCTGTGTCCTGCCTGATAGTCCCTATGTAGCTGTCAAGGTATTGCAATGCTTATGTTCAAGTAACCCTTATTTTACTTAATAGCCCCAAAGTGCAAGAGTAGTGATGCTGGTAATTTGGATATGCCAAAGAGAAACCATAAAGTGTATGTATGTATTTATAGGAAAAAACATAGTATATATATATGCTTCGGTACTGTCCATGGTTTCAGTCCTCTACTAGGGGTCTTTGAATGTATCTCCCACAGATAAGGGGGAACTACTGTATGAGTCTGAACAGCTTCTGGGGGCTTTAGGTAGATCTATCTGGTAAGAAGTTGTATATACTGTGTAGGTGGTAAATAAGAATAAAAGTAGAGAAAGAAACTAAGATTTAACTAATGTACATGAGTACCTTCTATCTGTCAGACAGTGTGCTAGACATTTATATAATTAATCTTTACTGTGACTCTGGAAGGTAGATATATTTATTCTCATTTCACCAATAAGAAAAGTGGGACTTCAAATGTTTAAGTAATTTGCCTATGGTAGAAGTTTGTTCCCATATGGTAAGTCTGGGATGGTTAATATAAGGTTGTTAAAACCATGGAGTTGAAGCACTCTCCTAAGGAAAGCCTATACTATGTTTATCTAGAAAAGAATCTAGGATGGGCCTGTAGGAAGCACAACATATCAAGGAAGGGTGGAAAAGGAAGAGCCAGGAAAGGAAAATGAGGTTTGGTCCGAGGGAGCATGAGAATCAGGAGAGACAGGTATCGCAGCAGCAAAGGGAAGAGAAAATATAAAATGGGAGTAGTCAGCAGTATCAGATGCCAAAGAGAAGTTAAGATACCAGTTGAATCATAGAAACACAGATACGCAAGCCTAGACATGGACACACGGACGTCCTCACCCCTGATAACAGGCATGATGAAACTCAGGAATACCCTGTGTGGTGAGGTCTGTGGGCATTTGTTCCTTGGCCTTACCTTCCAGTCCTGATGGCCTTCTCCTGTGTATCGGAGCTGATAGCAGGTCTCTTGGGCGGCCCAGGATGATGGGTGCTGCCATTTCAGTTCCAGCTGCCCGCTGGAGACCTCCCTCCAGTGCAAGTTTGGAGTGGAGATGCGCACTACAAGGATGTCATCAGGGACTGGCCTAAGCCCTTCTGTGCATGAGACATCATGCCACCGGGGCCATGGGTCAGAAGTGTCAAGAGTTGGTGATTCTGGGCACAGGGTCAGATGCAGTTGGGGGAGGAGCTATGTGGGAGCAGAAAGGAAGAAAGTTCTTACCAGCATGATGGATCCAGAAAGGGGAGCCCAGGTAGCTGTGAAAAGCACCCTGGGCTGTGGTCACCTCCACAAGGATGTGAATAACACTGTCATTTCGTGACTTGAAGTGGCAGCGGGAGACCTGGGAGGGCTGTAATCCTGGATTTTTCTCCTCCTCTTCACACTTCTCCCAGATGGGGTCTCTAAGAATCAGCCACGTAGAATCATTGAATTAGGCCTGTCTCAGAGACCAATCCTGATATTCTCCATCCCACAGGAGCGATGCCCTGCATGGATTATCATCTAACTCCTCTCTTGGGTGGGCCCCAGGGCTTGCTCTGTCTTCATGCCATATGTTTTGTTTTCTGACATTTGCTTTGGTGCCCCCCAGCCTCTTCCTCTTAAGGAAGGAGCTAGATGATACATGAAAATAGCATGGGCTATATCGAGTTCAGGTCTTGGCTTATTGGTGTATAACTGGGCAAATTATTTGGTTTATCCTTGTCCCAATTTCCCCATTTGTAAAACGGGTTAATAATACCTATTTCACAGGATTGTTTCAAAGGTTAAAAAGCCGTCATCATTCTGCAGAAAAACATCCTATGTTTTAAACCTGTTTTCAGCCCTGGATGGTGTGCTCAGTGGTTAGAGTGTCAGCCCGAGAACCGAAGGGTCGCAGGTTCAATTCCACTTAAGGGCACATACCTGGGATGCAGGTTTCCCATCCCATTTGGGGTACCAGTGGGAGGCAACCAATTGATGTGGCTCTCTCACATCAATGTTTCTCTCTCTCCTCTCTCCCCCTCCCTACCACTCTTTAAAATAATGGGAAAAATATCTTCCAGCGAGGATTAACAACAACAACAACAACAAAAATCTGTTCTCATACAGCAGTTCTCTTAGTCACCTCTATATGTTATTGTACTATTAGATTATTACAACAACCTCCTAACTGGCTTTTCCACCTCCATTTTTGCCACTCCCTTCAATTTGTCCTCCACACAGCTACCAGAATTTGCTTCCAAAATGTTGATCTGATAATGTCCAGAATATATCACAAATCTGCCCATTTGTTTTTATCTTGACCACTGCCACATTAGATGCAACCGCCATTATCTCTTGCCTGGATTAATGCATATGTCTAACTGGTGATCCGGCTTCTACTCTCACCTCTTTATAATTTCACAAAGAAGCAGATCTGCCCTAGCCAGTTTGGCTCAGTGGATAGAGCGTCGGTCTGTGGACTGAAGGGTCCCGGGTTCGATTCCAGTCAAGAGTACGTTCCTAGGCTGCTTGCTTGCCCCTCATGACCCGGCATGCAGGAGCCTCCATGCTCTCATCCTCCAATGGGTGTTTTGTCTTCTCAACCTTTCCCTATCCCTACTGGGAATGTCTTAGGTTAGATCAGTTTTAATCATGTCACCTGGACCACTGCAACAGCCTATATTCTCATTCACCTCCAACTCATCCCCCATGCTGCTGACAGAGTGACCTTTGTTAATCTCAGATTTTGCCTGGCCTTTCCCTTACTCAAATATGTACTGCAACTTTCACTATCAAATCCAATCAAAACTTTGCCTGGTCTTCAGGAATTTCCACCAAACATCTCATTGATTTGTCACCCCCCACCATAACCCAATATATAATCAAGGCTTTGTTGA